TGTATGGCCTCCCATTGCTGCTGCCTCCACCGCCACACTGTGGCTCCACACTCTGGTTTTGGCCCTGTGACTGCCCAAATGAGTGAAGTGTGCGGTGATTCTAAGATCGACGGCACTCATCTGCATGTCATACTGACTGACAGTATTATTTCTCTTCCCCAGCAGACTCCAAGGGCATTTAAATTAAAGGTACAGTGTTCTGCACTAATATAAAGGCTCTCTGAAGCCTAGAAACACCCTTTTATAAGTTAAAATCGCAGCGAATATATTCGCATCGAATCGAATTTATTCCTCGAATTCGCCGAATCAGCCGAATCGAATTTTTGAATACTTCGCTCATCTCTAGTGCATTACAATAAATAAGATTTTTTCCTGAATGAAAACCACATTCACAGTTACAGATTTCTTCATTCAAGAAAAAAATGTTATTCTGCTTAAATCAAGGCTTTCCAAAAGAGACTCAACTGGTGTATGGCCAGCTTTGGAACTGCATGAGAACAGTCTGTTAAAGGTAAATAAACATTCATATGCTGGCTCTGGCATGTCAAATTCGAAGGAATTCGCAGGCCGGATTGAGTAGAGTTAATTCTCAAGGGTCGTATAATGTCTACTGATGTCATTCCTGCTAAATTCCACTATAAAGTGTATAGCACTTTGCTATACTGTATAAAGTTTCGGTAAACATTGCAGCTCACTTTGATGAGTAGAACCGTGCCTTCAATACGAAATACAGGTCTCTTTGTAGCCATGTAGATGGTTACATGATCTCTATTCACTTTCTACTTTTCTCTTCAATGATTCCTCAAATCAAGGCCTCATTCACACAGGACGTTTTGAAAACTCTCCTAGAAGCTTTTCCTCCTGACAGCAGTATTTTGCAGAAAAAACACCTGACACTTGTAGAAGTGTAATGCTTTTAGGTGTGTTTACTGGTGTCAAACACTTGGGCGTTAATTCATTTCATTGGCCATAATAAAAGTGATAATAATTTATTCTGGCCATTGAAATTAACACTCAAACGCTAAATGCGCCTTTACACACACAATTACAAGTGCCAATCGCTTTTTTTTGCCAAAACTCTGCTGCTTCTAGATGCACTGGCAGTGTTTTTTTTTCCTGCCTCTCCTGCCCCTAAATGCTGCCTAAAGTCTATGTGTGCATGGATACATAGGCTAACAGGGAGAGGCGTTTGGGGAAAAAAAAAATGCCTGATGCCCCTAAAAGCGTCAGTAAAAACGTGTTCATGAGGCCCACATCTATAAAAGGTATTTGGGTTGGGGGAGAGGGAGTGATGATATTCTAATTGTTATACAGTGAGCCTTACTCCACTTTCATAGAAAAAAAAAATCTGGCAACTAAAAAATAATATAGCATGTACAATTGCTGCACAAGTCATGTAATGTTTTGTTATTAACATTACCTTTTCTTTTTCAGTGCTGTCATTTTATGTAAAATTGAATGTATTATGGCAGCCAGACTTTCTGTAGACAGCTGATTTACAGACCGCCCCTACATATGTAATGTCCTGCTCAGGGGCGGACGACAACTCATGGGGCCCCCCGGGCAATAGGGGATCATGGGGCCCCTGTATCCTTGCCCAAACTCAAAAAAGCCTATGGAAAAGGTATCAGGGGCATCTCATGGGGCCCCCTACTGACCCCGGGGCCCTCGGGCAGTGCCCGAGATTCCAAATGGTCAGTCTGCCCCTGGTCCTGCTTGTGTGATTGGTTTACTGATGTTTCCAGAAGTTTATATTAAGATAAAAGTCAGATTGTAGGCACCCTCTGTAATAAAACATAAGTGATGCTGAGATACTCCCCAAGGGTTGATCACTTTTAAAGGGACGCAGACACTGCTGCTTTCCTTATTAGAACACAGTGCAGCAGCTGATTATAATCTACAAGACCCTCCCATTGACAATGAGTATGCAGTCAGTCTGGTGAAACAAAAAGCTATTTCTTCACAGCAACTTAAGGTAGGAAATCTGCTCCAGGTAAAACAACTCACATGTGTGTATTTGATGTTCTTTACGCCACTTACTGTATATGTTTATTCCCTTTGTTTATGGAAAAGCAAATATTGACAGTCACACAAAACCCCAAAAATGGGCATGTGGCTTCTGGACATCAAGAGGTTGACATTATGTGGTCATCAAGAGGTTGAATATAAAAAAAAAAATATTATATCTAAAAAACAAAAATCCAGATTTTAGATTTTGTATTGTATTTTATGAGCATGCCATAGCCATGCGTTCCTTGATTGTATCTCTGAAGGCATGCATATTTGTTCTGACACCCATGGTGGAAGTACGTTCCTTGATCACCCTACCGATCAAGTATTTCAACAAAAAAGGCATTAACACATGGCATATGTTTATTCCCTTTGTTCAGGGGGGCAAATATGACATTGTCTTTTGGCAAACTATTTGGTTTTTGCCCTTTGGGACACCCATAAAATTCCACCTCTCACCAATTTTGAACACTCTTCCTTTGCAAACAGCTTCACAATGTTTTAAGATATGTTCAGGGATTTATCATTGCTGGCCACTAGAACTAGCGCTAAACATATCTGAGTGCTTTTTGACTGTTTGGGGTCACTAGAACCCAGGATCTTGTTTTTCTTGCGACCCAAAATCCTTTGGTCCTTTGCTGTCCTTATTCAAGGCACCCAGTGCCGCCTCCAGCTCCTGTATGTTCATGTCTTGCCTATCCACTTGCATTTCAGATTTTGGCACAGTAGCCTAAATTTTTTTCACCAGCACAGATGCTCATGTTGTTGATCTTCTGCATTGTCAAAGGGTGCAGCTAAGGCTTGTATTAACTGGCATGCATGTGTCATTCCCCTCACTCGTCTTCTCATACTTCTGCTCATTGTGTACCTCTTCGTGCCATTGTCAACAGCTAAGGCTTGTATTAACTTGGTCCCCAAGAAGGCTTTTGGCTTACTCAAGTACTTTTTGGCAAACTGTAGGTCTTGCATTTTTTTATGTCTCTGTGTTCAGCAGTGGGGTCCTCCTGGGTCTCATGCCATAGCGTTTCATTTTCATTTAAATGTCGACGGGGATAGTTCCGCGCTGACAATGATGCTCCCTGAGCCTGCACATCACTCATCGCTGTGTTCTTGTAACTTGAGATTGTTGATATTTTGCAGAACAGATATACAACACAGCAACTAGTAGGGACCTGAAAATGATTTCTTTTTTACCTACATAGACTGAAAGCACCAACACCTGGCCCGGTTAATGCGATTTTTAAAGTTAACTTGTCACAAGAGAATAAATTGGTAACCACTTCTGATCTCTCTGAAAATGCTAGTTGCCTGGCTATGGTGCTAAATCAATGGCGTCAAAGTTTCTGAACATGTTTTCGGATCAGTTTGTTCCAGGAAAAACATTCATAAAAAATTCACTTATGTAAATGCTTCCTATGGGACATAGTTAGAGCCAAGGGGTCAGGGGGTAAGTACATGACAATCAATCCAAAACATTAGGACGCCTGCCCCCCCAAAAAAAATCTGCAAGTTTTTTGGTAAAAATTGCCACTGACTCATGTGTCGATTTTTGGCACCAAAATTCCTGAGCCCAAAACAACTTTTAAGGCAAAAATGATGGTACCTTGTAATTTCTGGACAGTTGTTTGAGCTTTAGACCCAACGTTTTTATTTTTTTAATACTTTATTTAATTTGACCAGGTTACAGTGTAAATAATACATCTTACAATAGTCAACTATTAGTCCAGCTACGCTTATGTCAAAAAACAATTATCAAAATAATTGGCAACAGAGAACAATCAAGCATTTAACCTGTATACACTGGATCACCAGGGTCTTTGCCCTGTTGAGGTTGTTTTTTTAACAGACAGAAACAGGTAATCAAAGAAAATAATGGAAAGGGATAAGGAAAGTGAGGGGAATGAGGGGGGGGGGGGAGGTTGAGGGCAGGAAGGGCCCAACTTTACCATCCACCGACCACCTCCAACCTGACTCAAATAATCCAGGTATTACCGCCAAGGCATCCAAATCTTAAAGGATAAGTTCATCTTTCGTAACACGTTACATGTTACACCCATATTCAGGATGTAACATGTTACGATCAGACTGGCCCCCACACCCCCCTTGATTCTCGTTGTGACAGCTGGCGGGGGGATCTTCTCCTCTCGCTAGCTGTCAAAATTGAACAAAAAAATGTCACTCATTCATTCTGTGTTCTGTGAATTAAAACACTACAATTTCCGACAGCCTTTGTGCCTGTTGGCGTGTAGTTGTCAATGAACTACCATGGGGCTGTAGTAGTTCATTGAGTCTTCCTGTCAGTAAGTATCTGCTTGCCCATATGGGATGTATGAGGAAGCAGATACAGTGTCAGAGGGAGACCTGCATGGCACAAACGATCTTCTGATCACTGGTGCAATGCTTTAGAGGCTCCAGAAACAAAAAATAATACATGCACATTTTTTCTTTTTACTTTTTTTTGTTAAAAGGTGAACTTATCCTTTAAGATGTTTCTCAGACTGATTGTTAGAAAATGCGGTTAACTGTCCTATAAGTTGGATGTCAGATACCCTGGTCCACCAATGTTCGAATATGTAGACCCAACTTTGGATGAAGAGTGGAAAGGTTAGAACTTTTGTCAGGTCATTGTTGGGAAGATCATGGATATATTCCTATCACACTCCTTCTTGGGTAAAAGCCTGAAAGAAGCCTATAGCTTTATTCATATAACATCCAGTTGGTTAACCTGTTATCAACATACAAGAAAGCATGTGTCACCAGCACACCATAGATCCTCGCTCAGTACAGCAATAAAGAGTTTCCCAGTAAAACTGAAGCACTAATGATAAGTGGGTTGTAGAACATATGTGGGTGAATATAGCCTGAAGATCAATGATTTCAGCATACAAGACTCTCTGTGCTGAGTTCATACTCCTACCCAATGCCTGTACATACAGCCACAAACTCTCAGTATATGGAACAATCTAATAACATTTAGTCACTGGTCATACCTGGAAGGGAATAACAATGTTCACCGTCTCGCCAACCCTCTTCACAAATTTCTGTCTCAGGTAACGGGGCAGCCAGATCTTTGGCCTTTCTGTAGGGAAGGCAACATACAGTCAGAAATTGTTTCTAGCTAAAACTATTTTTAAAGTGAGTTAGAACCCCTGTCAGGTTTTACAGTGGGGATCGAAAGTTTGGGCACCCCAGCTAAAAATTTGTATTAATGTGCATAAAGAAGCCAAGGAAAGATGGAAAAATCTCCAAAAGGCATCAAATTACAGATTAGACATTCTTATAATATGTCAACAAAAGTTAGATTGTATTTCCATCATTTACACTTTCAAAATAACAGAAAACAAAAAAATGGCGTCTGCAAAAGTTTGGGCACCCTGCAGAATTTATAGCATGCACTGCCCCCTTTGCCAAGCTGAGACCTGCCAGTGTCATGGATTGTTCTCAATCATCGTCTGGGAAGACCAGGTGATGTCAATCTCAAAGGTTTTAAATGCCCAGACTCATCTGACCTTGCCCCAACAATCAGCACCATGGGTTCTTCTAAGCAGTTGTCTAGAAAACTGAAACTGAAAATAGTTGACGCTCACAAAGCTGGAGAAGGCTATAAGAAGATAGCAAAGCGTAACTGCTGTCTCAGCTAGGGATCTTTTAAATTTACATCCTGTTTTTCGACACCCATCATATGGACAGAAAGTGAGGGCAATCTAATCAATGAGGACAATGACCAAAAATAAATAAATGACAGTTTTATACCTCCCCTATTCTACTAAAAATGCTGTCTTTGTTTCATTGATCAAATGCCTCTCAATTCCTGTTCAGCCTGACACCTGTGATATAGACAGAGAGTGAGGAGAAGATAAGAGATTATATTCCGGAATTACTGGGACAACCCTGCATCTTGACCCTCTGTCCTGCTGTGTCATGGGCCATGTCCCAGGATCACAGCATCAACCATATCTGAGTTATTGCACATTTGCAGTAATTCAAAGAGGCATCAATTTCAGGGATAGGGGCCAATCTGTAAGGTGGGTGTGATGAGCGATGTCTGCATATTTAGGGGCAAGGTCTGGAAGGGATAAACCCGTAAGTTGGACACGGTCTGTCATGCCCACCCCTGGAAGGTGAGAGAATGAAATACCAGTATCCTAAGATGAAAATGTTGGTAAGAGTGAAGATTATATATGAATTTAACATATATTAGGCATGTTATTTCATTGAAAAAGCCTGTTCTGTGTGGACAAATAAAAGACCTAAGACCGCTGCTGGGTGTCACCAACTTGGATGTGATGTCAGCTGCCCACTGGCACTCAAGTGACACTATAATATGACCAATATCTCCTCCTCCCAGCAGGTACATAAAAGGTTATGTACGGAGGTGAGGGGTGGGGCAAAGGAGTTGGGCCAGCACAGAGAGGATGTAAACACCCCCCCAGGAAAGCAGAAGACTATGACGTACAAGGAGGGAGGGGACTGTACTAGGGAATTGACATTCTTGGAGTAGTCAATTTATTTTTTTTTTTTTAGCAAGTTCAGACACACTGCAAGTAAATCAGTTATAGAATGAAAAATGCTGCATTTAAAATGTTTCATTTTTTCTGTACTTATACCTGAATTTTTGTTAAGTTGGTGAGCAGGTGTTAAATCTCGGATCTGGGTACCATTGTCTTATTAGGTTTAGACAGGATACTATCTGTTTACGTCAGCTGTGTAATAATCGCATATTGCCTTTCTTCATATAGCCTAAAAAGATGTCTTTTGTGTAGCTCCTGCCAGCATGCTATTAGTACACAACTGATGGAAACAGATGCTACGGAAATGGATGGTGTCCAGAGTTGCCTTTAAAGCAATTTCCAAAGTCCTTTTTCACAAAACAATGTGATTCTCTCCTCCACCAAAATGGTCACCTCCACAAGGTGTAGAACACATATGTCAAACACAAAGCCCATGGGTCAAATCCAGCCTTCCAGGCCTTGTCATGTGGCCCTAACATCCCTGCACGCAGCCATGGTGGGGACAGATCTACAGAATCTGAGAGAGAGCGAACAAGCTCCCTTAAACCCTGAGCTCTGTACACAGCACACCCCTGAGCTCTGCACTCTGTACATAATGCACCCCCAAAGCCTACACTTTGTACATAGTGCACCCCTGAACTCTGCACTCTGTATGTAACACACTCCTGAACCCTGGACTCTGTATGTAGCACACCCCTGAACTCTGCATTGTGTATGTAGTGCACCCTAGGTACAACAGGCCCTTTGAGGGCAACCATACTGCTGATGCGGCCCATGGTGAAATTGAGTTTGACACCCCTGGTCTAGAACAAGGCATGGTAAGTCAGTGATGGGGAAACGCTCAGCTGCAGAGAGACTACAGGCAATACTGGAGACTAGTTATTTGTCATTTGCTTGCCTTTTTGCTTGTCTCTTTAACCAGTGGTGAAATATTATACAAAAGGGCCCATGTACAAGATCATTTTTGTGTCCCTTTTTTAACTACTGCCCAAGTACACTTTTTTTCACTGTCAATAAAAGCTAAACAGAATGAGAGATAGACACTACTGGGCTGTCAGATGTCACCTTATTTTGATGGAAAGACTGATCAAGAATCAAGCTTTGGAACAAATTCACTTTTGTGCTCAGAACTTTTTTCTGCAATTTCATTAACTTGTCCCAGGCCATCTGTTGCCTGATCCAACCACTTTTTATTGGAAGAGGTGACAATCCTCATACCAGACAGCAATAAAATCTGACACTCTCCTTACACTATCCAAAACTGAGAAAAGGTTTGGCTTGATGTCTTCTTTATCTTCCATCAGGTCTTATTTTAGTGAACTTACGCATGATCTCCCGGATGGTCACAGGCTCCTTCATGGTGCATGGCTCGCTGGGTCCTGCCAAGTTAATGGCCTTGACCCTGAAAGTGAGTCTCTCCCCAGTGGGCAGGTCTCTTATCAGACAAGAGGTCCTTTCAGTCAGGCCTTGAAGAGCTGGTACCCATTCTGAGGCTGTAGAAGGCAACAAAGACACGATGAGAAAAGAGGTAACCAAAAGAGCAAGAGGAAAGGAGATAAAGCCACCAATAGATAGACAAGTGTTTGGTGCTGGTGTAACCTTCATCTTTCTAGGACAATACATGGAAAGGTAAGAACATTTTGCCAAAAATAATACCATCTATAAATCAGTGGTCTTTCTGAATCAGGACTGCCCAGATGTTGCTTGGTGTTCCTTGTAAACCCCTACCTATACCCAGTGAAGTCAATGGCCTCAGGTGATACACAGAGATTAAACAAATCTTCCTACTCAAGTTGTGTGTAACTACAGCTGTGTTTCCCCTACAGCTATTCAAAGTGCAGAATTTACATAGGATCTCTCAGCTATGAAAATCAGGGGGTAGATTCTACTCTCTTTTTTTGACTGATTTAATTATTGAGGCTTTTGCTTGATGTCATTGCTCGTCGCGATTCCCCATCCCTCTCAAATAGTTTTTTTACAAGGATTACAAAATTGATCCTCACCTCCCTCCTCTTTTTTTTCTCCCCTCAACTCCCTTTATTTCTTTTTGCTTTTTCTCTTATTCCCGTGGGATGAATCATTGATGGGAGACATCTCAACACTCAAGTTCTATGACTCTATAGTGATTATTTATTGTGTGGACCAGGGGCGGACTGACCATTTGGAAACTCGGGCACTGCCCAAGGGCCCGGGGTCAGTAGGGGGCCCCATGAGATGCCCCTGGTACCTTTTTCATAGGTTTTTTTGAGTTTGGGCAAGGATACAGGGGCCCCATGATCCCCTATTGCCCAGGGGCCCCATGAGTTGTCAGTCCGCCCCTGTTGTGGACTATCAGGTTTTGTCATACTTCTGGCTATGTGCTAGACATATTTCCAGATTTCTTTTACTGTAGATGACCGCACTTCAAGCTTTTTCTGTTACTTAAACCCCTGCATTACATATTTGTTCTTATGTAACTGTGCATAGTTCCCTTTTTCTTTTGAATGACTGCTCTATTATGTGTCACTTATGTTTCTATAACCAGTATAATCTGTTGATTTATTCAATAAAATTTGTTTGGTAACAGAAAATCAGGGGGCAGAGAGTTGAAGTTACATCAGTGAGGAGAGCTCTAAGAGCTGATTGGAGGGAAGGAAGCCCCCCCCCCCTTTCACACAGCACACAGGTACAGTGTTAAGGCTGTCAACCACAGGCTGTGCCCTCCCCTTTCATTTTTCTCTTGGTGTCAGGAAAATTCATCAGAAGTAACTGAGTGCAGAGGAATGAGGCGACGGACAGAAATGACACTTAGTGCTCTGGACTGAGACAAGCACACACTATACAGGTAGATACTTTGTTTACATTTCATGTCTGAGGTTTACAACCACTTTAACAATTCTGAAACTCAGGTATGTAACCACTGACATTAGTGATTCTTTTAGCTATCTATTGGAGAATAATTTGTCCCACTAACCACCAATGTAAGCAGCATTCTCCCTACTGACTTCCCATGTAAATAGCATTCTTCTCACTGATCACCAATCTAAGGATCATTCTTTCCACTGATCACCAATATAAGAAGCGTTCTTCCAACTGACTTTCAATGACAGGAGCATTTTTCCCACTAACTCCCGATATAAGTAGCATTTTTCCCCAAGGACCCGACCCTCCAAATTTAGGAGCATTGTTCCCACTGAACACCAATGTAAGGAGCATTCTTCCCATGGACCACCAATGTAAGGGGCATTCTTCCCACTGACCACCAATGTAAGGGGCATTCTTCCCACTGACCACCAGTGTAGGAAACATTCTTCCCACTAGCCACCAGTGTAAGACACATTCTTCCCATTGACTACCAATGTAAGGAGGATTCTTTCAAATGACCACCATGCTAATTTACCATGAGCTGTCAGAAATATATAATTGCCATGACAGCCAAGCAACTAGCACTTTTTTGATCAGATGGTCAGTAGCGGCAGTGAGTTTTGTATTTCTCTCATTTATAGCCCTGGTTCAAATCGATGCGACTTGTCATATGATTTGACAGGTTCAAATCGCATGACAAGTTACACCCTATTGTCTGCAATGGAACCGTTCTGACTCCATTGGAGGTGCACTGTTTTTGGAAAGTAGTTCCTGCACTATTTTTCGCAATTTCAGGTGCGATTTGTATAGACATCTGTGCATGAAGTTGCACAGATGTCTGCTAAGTTGCACCTGAAGTCGCACTGACATACGACTTTGAAATCGTGCGACTTCAAGTGAATTACAAAGTCAGATCCAGCGTAAACCAGAGCTATGGGTACATGCACACTAGATGTCAAAACAACTGATCCTGCCGTTGGTTTCTGGCAGCAAAAAGAAAAAAAAAATCTTGACGCTGGTAATCGTGTGTACCGCATTTACACCTGTGTACTTTCGTCAAGCACTTGGGTGTTAATTCATTTCATTGGCTAGAATGAATCATTTATTCTGACCATTGAAATGAAAAATGTCTAAATGCTAAACACACCCAGCAGTTACACGTGTTTTTGCCACGTTTGGCGGTTTTCTGTCAAAATACTCCTCTCCTGAACATAATTCTTCTGCATTAAGGAGAGGAGCATTTTACTGTCTCTAAACTTTGCTGCTTCTAAACTCTGGTAAAAGCCTATGTGTGCATGGACATAGGCTTTTATTGAGTTGAGTTCAGTGGCTTTGGAAAAAAAAAAACCACCAAAAGCTCCTAAACGTGTTTAGGTGCAGCAGTGTGCATGAGGCCTTAATTTTTAAAGTACTGATAGCTCCTGGATTGGCCTGACTCATTAATTCTGCTTGAAAAATTAATTCCAAGCATGGCATTTTTTCCATAGTTGCATTGGTCCAACGTGGACCAATGTAGATATGTACTGTGCATACCATACTTGTGGGATTCCTCCAGAACATGGAAATCATTGCAGCAAACACCACTACTCCAGTGATCTCCACTAGCTTCTGAGTCCCACGCCAAGTGGCTGCCCTACTACATTGTGAACTCAGGAGGTCGCCTGCTTTCTCACAGGCACCGTTCAAAGACTGCAAAGCAGACTCTGATTGGACGAAGTGGACAGCCCCTCTTTGCCCCTCCCACCTTGTCCATTTAGAGAGCATTTTGCATTAATTGCCAAAAAACAAAGCAAGCTCTAGATGGATGGCGCCTGTGCTGAGCGACTGATCTCCTGTGTTCACAGTGCTGCAGGGCAGCCGTTCATTACGGGGTCTGGAAGCAAGTTGAGATCACTGGAGTAGTGATGTCTAGAGCAACAATTTCCAGATTCTCAAGGGACCCCACAGCTGCGGTACATACATAGTTACATTGGTCCAAGCTGGGATAATGGAATTCTGTAAAAATATTCATGCCTGGAATTCTTCTGTAAAGGAAACCTGCCACGAGTGAAATCTGTAGTCTGTAAATACTGTCCTCTTAAAATTCCAATTGCCTGGCTGCTTTTACTTCAATTCCTTCTGAGTCAATGATAACTACAGAGCTCAAGGAATGAACGATTTTCTCTGACTATAATTCACAGCATACTTGTTCTAGGCCAGAGATTCAGAAGTACTGATGCTAAATACAGCCAGGCAACTAGTATATTTAGGAGTAAATCCCACATACCCATAATTACCCAACACAACCACTCATAGTTTATTTTCAAATCCATTTTTATAAATAAAATATCACTGAATGGCTGATATATTATTGCTGCTGCATTGCTTTTTATAAACCGGTCCTATTCTGCATTATATAACAACATAAATACTTCTACTATAAATACAGGCTTACGTAGTAAACCAATGCAGATGGTAATGATGGTGTGTGCACAGTGCTGTAGATCAGTGTTTCTCAACCTTTTTTCAGTCAAGGCACCATTTAAAATGATGGACAGTCTTGAGGCACCCCATTCTAAAATGTGAAAAACTATTCTAATAGTTGTATATATAACGCAGCAATATCCACACGTAGAACACCCAACATTGGAGGTGATTTATTCTTCCAAAGCACATACCCATTTGCACACTGGTACTGACTAGTATTCCAGTGTCTCTCTTCTCCCTCAAGTTTTCTCCATCACTGAGCTAATGTGACCCCAGCACTGATGGAGAGGGGCGGGGGAGGGTCAAACTAGGATGCTGTGCAGGCAGCTGGCATCCTCCTTATCAACTGATGATGTCATTGGTTGTCAGGACGCCGGCGGCTATAAGGTCGTAATGGTGCACAATGAAAACCTGTGGCTTTGTGTAACTGAAGGCAGGCTTGTTCCACCCACTGGCTTGCATACAAGTTTCGGGCAATTTTTAGACATTTTGCCAAGGCACCCTGGTTGAGAAAGGCTGCTGTAGACCACAGCATACAGATTCAAGTTAAAGTATAACTAAAGGCAAAACCCTTTCCTCTAGATTTGGATAGACTGGTAAGGTGATGCAACCTCTGTCAGGTTTTTATTGCTGTCTGTGTCCCCATTAGGGTGACATTGCTCTGAGCACCAGGAAAGGAATTGTGAATCAATCTAAAAAACTGAGTTGCCACCACAACAAAAATAGAGGGCAGATCTTCTAATGGAGACACTTGTTCCCATGACAGCTGTCTAAGGGTTCAGGTTAGTGGCGTCCATTCTAATCAGCAGGGAATCCGTGACCAGACCCCTGGCTGCTTTTGTGACATCCGCAGCCATTCAGTTTTTTTCCCCCTTTCTGAGCTGAATGGACCCATGTTAGGTCTATGGGCAGGCAGATAGGAACAGACGTGTATCTCTTTTTCATTGTTTACCTATGACTACATTCAGGTCGGAAAAATCAGAAAAGGAAGCAAACTTGTTTCCTTTTTTTTTTGTGGATGTAGATGGACTCAGAGATAGTCGGATGTACATGGACACACATCCCTTTACATCCGCCTGCCCATAGACCACGTTTGGATCACTCTTCAGAGAACATTTGACAGGCCATGATGAGATGTCACTTATCACTGTTTGCTTTAACCCTTTGAACTCAACCGTGTGCATTGCACGCAGTGGCAGGGTGCTTGCAGAGCAGCCCATTCACTTGAATGGGAAATAATCATCGGACGCTATAGTGGCTGCATTTTTGTGTTTAGGTGGGCAGTCGGGGGAGGTGGTTTTATTGCCCCCGACTGCCCACCTAAACACAAAAATGCAGCCACTCAGGGCTGTACACATGCCATAGCAAATTAAATGTCCTGTTTCATTTGGTGGATACTACCACCTCTGTATGCAACTCATTCAACGGGCAGCTCCCCAACCTTCCTGCAAATCTGTGCAATGCACACAGTTGCAGCGTGATGGATCAGCATTTTTAGAGTTAAAACAGGAGGAAAGGAAGTGACATATCCCCTCCTCACCGCCTGTCAAATGCCCTCTAAAAAGTGATCCATCATGGATCACTTTTCTGAGGGGCGGCAATAATATCTGTACGAATGAAGAAACCGTTAGTTTATTCAAAATGAAAAAAAAAAAAGGTTTGCCTTTAGGTATATCTTACCTAGATGCAGTTATGAGGCTATGGCTTCATCTGCCTTATCCTATTGCTTCAGTTCACATCAACATGTTGCATTAGTGTGCGTTGAAAAAGAAAAAATAGGACTTGCATTTTTTTCGCAGTGCCTTTAGGCATGCTGTAATGCATCCCAATGCACTGCTGCATAGAGTTTCAACAGATTGTACAATTAAATAACTTTTAAGGAAAAATAAAAGTTGTAAAATTCATTGCAGCGTGAATGAGCCCTCACTGGGGTTGAATTACTAAAGGCATATAGACTGTGCACTTTGCAAAGTGCAGTTGCTCCAAAGGTTAGTAAATGAGCAGAAGCTCTGCTGACTTCCATCATCCAATCATGTGCAAGCAAAAATGCATTTTTTTTTTTAATTTCCCTTGCATGTGATTGGGTATTCTTGGCAAAGTGAAGCTTCACCTCGTCTGCTTAGCTCTGCAGCATGCTGCTCCTGCAGGGTGCAACTGCACTTTGCAAAGTGCACAGTCTATTTGCCTTTAGTAAATCACCCCATTGTGCCCTCCGTGCTCTTTGCACTTTCTAGCTGCATAAAGCTGAGAGAATGCCAACACTGTAGAGCATACTGTATAAAAATACCCGACAACTGGCTTGATCGGAGCTGGCACATTAATGCATGTGTTGGCGAATTGCTTTCGGCTTATCAGCATAGTGGAGTGGGTAATGTTCATAAATAAATCCTACGCATACACCAAGAATGCACACGCTCCTACATTTCTTCATACATCTGGAGAGAGCTTGATACTTCACCCCAAAACATGCAGCCAGGATATTGGATACTGGGTTCTCTGAGTCACTTGATTTTAATACAGATGATAGAAGGGATAGGTGGGGGCCACCCTTCAGTAAAGTGTTCTGGGCACGTTGGCACGATCTTGTGCTTCACCAGGCTTGGAGGACCACATACAGACACCGGGGTTTTGGTGACATAGCCCAGCAAACATCCTGCCCAAATCCTGTTAAACCATTATCAGTTGGGTGGTGGCCAGCAGTAAATGCATACTTGATGAGGGGCTCAGGTAGCACCTGGTTAATGATAACAGGAATAGGGAGCCTGGATTATATTAATCTTCATCCTTGGCATCCATCCTGGGACCCAGGAGATTACAATCAGGCCGGAGTGCTTAGGATGGCAGGGACCCAGATCTGAAGAGGCATGGAGGAACTGAAAAGGATAAGCTTCTAATCTGATCTCTAATGTCAGGAAGAGTCTGGGCTGATCCTGTGCCTACATAAGGGGCTCTTAATGTGCCAATGATAACACACACTAAATCCATCACTGTCTGCTTTACAGATCTGTGTGCTGTCAATCACAGATCAGTCACTCTCAAAGCATTAGTTTTAACCAGACCCAGAATAAAGTGTATCCAAAACTATTTTTTTTTCAACAGAGTAATGGGGGGCTAGATCCTCTGCCAGGTTTTTTATTGTTGTTTGTATTCCTGTCCTCATCATCCAATGGGGACACCTATTTCTTTAGCAACTGTCCAAGGGGTGTATTTATAAAACATGCAGAATTAGTTGTCATGGGAAACTGCATGTACTGTAGATTTGTGCTGTGCAAATGGGGACAATTCATTTTAGGTCGAATGTTATTTTTTATACAGAATAGAGTAAATCAGGAATATACTGCCACTAGAGGGGGCTAATGATTATAGGAAATACATATTAATTTGCTTGATCATCAGCTACATCTAGTGGCCATAATGCAAAATGTCCATTGGTGGGCAGTAGGAAGAATGCTCCTTAGATTAGTGGTTAGTAGAAAGAATACTCCCCTTGCATTGGTAATTAGTGGGAAGAATGCTCCTTAGATTAGTGGTTAGTAGAAAGAATACTCCCCTTGCATTGGTAATTAGTGGGAAGAATGCTCCTTAGATTAGTGGTTAGTAGAAAGAATACTCCCCTTGCATTGGTAATTACTGGGAAGAATGCTCCTTAAATTGGTGGTTAGTAGGAAATATACTCCCCTTACATTGGTAGTTAGTGGGAAGAATGTGCCTTAGATTGGTGGTTAGTAGGAAATATACTCCCCTTACATTGGTAATTAGTGGAAAATGAATGCTCCTTAGATTGGTGGTGAGTAGGAAATATACTTCCTTACATTGGTGGCTAGTGGGAAGAATCCTCCTTAGATTGGTGGTTAGTAGGAAATATACTTCCATTACATTGGTGGTTAGTGGGAAAAATGCTCCTTAGATTGGTGGTCAGTGGGAAGAATACTCCTTACATTGATGTTCAGGTGGATGAATACCCCTTACGTTGGTGGTAAGAACACTCCTTACATTGGTGGTCAGAAGGAAGAATACCCCTTACAATGGTGGTCAGTAAGAAGAATAACCCTCTTACAGACAGCTAAAAAGATCATTGTTGTCATGCTGCTGACTTTGCCAAGTGATGCTGGTCCCCGAACTATGCAGGCACTATCAAATGGGAGGTCAATCAGCCACAATTCAAGGAACCCCTAGTAACCTTTGGAGGAACTTTGGTTAAGTATGGCTGCTTTAAAGTATATCTATACTCAAAATGTAAAAAAAAAAACATTTTTGGATTGAGTACAAATTATTAAAAACTCTTGTTTCGTTTGGTTTTGGGTCCCATTGGGGAGATTTCTCTTCACCTCTTGTTCTGTACACAACAGCAAAAGTAAGAGGAAGGAAATCTTATCAAAGTTTAGATTGGAACAGGTGTCCACATTGAAAGATTTCACATTACCTGTTCCTTCTAGTGACTATCATACAGTTTTAGATTTCCCATCACTTTCTGTTCTACAACTATGGGCACCATGACTAATAAAGAGAATGGACCTCCCCAGATCTTTCCACACTATATCCAAAACTAAAAAAAAATTGGGCTATTGCTATGCTTCAAGCCTGAAGCCTAGAGCTATCCAGTGGCCATATACAATTCTTTGAATTATCCTACAGCCTATGTTATAGATGAGATGTGATTGTATCTTTTTACCACTTGACATGTAATTATAATTGGATGGAGGAATGCAGGTTTCCATGGTATAGCATGTCACTGTGGGCATTTCTGGGGACAAACATTTCATGTAACATATCTGTAAAATCTGAGCGTGTCCAGACAGTTCATTGCTCAGACTCTTAGAACATTGAGGAGTGATGGGGGGAGTGTAACACTTACAACCCTCCTTGCAGTATTCCACAATGTAGCCATCCAGTCCTCCTGCACCAATCCTCTCTGGAGGTCTCCACTTCAGTGTGATGCTGGTGTCACTGACATCGTCCACTGTCAGCTGGGTGGGCTCACTGGTAGGAGCTAAAAGGAAGCAAAGAAGCAATGTGAGCTTTTTTATGATATCATTGGTTTAGCAAAACAGTACTGACAGTGATGTTTGTCTGTCCTCATTGTTCATTGTATCATTCTGGTTCTACATGTCCCCTGCCACCTTCCTTCTAACAATCACCCCCACTCCATAAGTATCCACTCCGCTGCCTCTGTCCTCCTCCATCCCTGCTCTAACAATCACCAACTCTCATCATTTGTCTCCCCTGTTGCTTCTGTCCCTCCTGCACTCTGCTCTAATAAAAATCCCCACTCCACAAGTGTCCACTCTGCTGCCCCTGGCCTCTACCACTCCCCTCTAACAATCACCCTTGCTCAACAAATGTCTCCTCTGCTATCTCTCTCCCGCTAGCCACCACCTCTGCTCAAACAATCACCAATGCTTCACAAGTGTCCCTTCTGCTTCCCTTGTCCCCCCCTCCACCACCCTTACTCTAACATTCACTCCACAAGTGTCCTCTCTGCTTCCTCTGTCCTCCAACACCTCTGCTCCAACATTCATTCTGCTCCACAAGTGTCCTCTCTGCTGCCTCTGTTCCCTGCCACCTCCACTCTAACACTCACTCCACAAGTGTCCCCACTGCTTCCTCTGTCCCCCGCAACATCTAATCTAACATTCACTCCACTCCAAAGGTCCCTTCTGGTTCCTTTGTCCCCCACCACCTCCTCACCAACATTCACTCCACTCCAAAAGTGTCCCCTTTGCTTCTTCTGTCCTCCACCACCTCTACTCTAACATTCACTCCACTCCCAAGTGTCCCCTCTTTTGCTCCTGTCCTCAGCCACCTCCATTCTAACAATAATTCCCACTCTATAAGTGTCCCTCTTCTTCTATCCTCCACCACCTCCACTCTAACATTCACTCTGCTGTACAAGTGTCCCCTCTGCTGCCTCCAGCTACCAGATTGATTATCTATCTATCTATCTATCTATCTATCTATCTATCTCAAATAGTTTTCCTGTCTTACCAGTTCTGGGTAACATTTGTGCAAACAGGACTAAAATATACATAGATAAATATATTATGCAAATAAAGATGAATATTGTGACTGTATTCTACTTTTATTCTATATGGAAACCAGCTTGTCTGCTACCTAGTGAGATGCATATGATAATTATGTCTCTCAATAGACATAATTATGAATATAATAAAACCGCAAAGCACAATGAACACAATAACCCAGAGCAAGCGAATTTCTACCGACTGCTGATTTCTATCTGCGAGTTGCTGCATTATGATAAAAAGATCACATTGTCCTAGGGTGTGTGGGTCGTGTTTCTCAACCTTTTCCCAGACAAGGCACCATCTAAAATTATGCGCGATCTCACGGTACCCCATTCTAAAATGTAAGAAACCTAATAGTTTTACATAATGCAGCAACATCCAGACATGTAGGAACATTAGAGGCAATTTATCCTTTCACAACAAATACACCTTTGCACGCTGGAACTGACTAGTATTTCCAGCCTTTCTATTCTATCTTAGTTTTTCTCCTTTGCTCAGTTAATGTGACCCAAGTGTAGATGCAGAGGGCAGTGGAGGAATAAACAAGGATGCTGTGCGGACACCCAACATCCTTCCTATCAACCGATGATATCATTGACTTTGAGTAACAAAAAGGAAGGCTTGAAGCACCCACTAGCTTGTATACAATTTTTGGGCAATTTTGAGACATTTTGCCAAGGCATTCCTGCAGAAACCTGAAGGAATCCCAGGGTGCCTGACACCCTGGTTGAAAATGGCCGGTCTAGAGTATTAGAACGCCTGTTCCTGGGAGGTCCAACTAAAACTATAAGCCATGTTTTTTACATTCTGTACTGAACAAACTGGCATTTTTCTTAATCCACTCTTGTTATGTGCAATAAAAAAAAAAAAATTGAGATATATATATATATATATATATATATATATATATATATATATATAAGATTTTGCTATGGGCAGTCACAGGACTGAAAGCACCCATTACATGTGTGATATACATCTTTATACAAAGCAAAAGGCACACCCAGATCACACTGTACTGATCCACAATGTGAACCTTTTATTTTATGTTGAAGGATGGGCTTTACTATGTTATAACATGATTTTACTCCCTAAAACCCATTCAATGTATACAGAAGCTTGGATTATAGGCAGATCAATTATAGATAAACTAGTGGCTATGGGTTACAACAGTTACTAAATATGTTTATCTCCCCGAACAAGGAGAATACATCAGTACAGCGTTTCATATTCATCATTTATATCTGGAAAACCACCCAAACATAATTTGTCACCATAGTACATGCAATAAACTCACTATCAAACAACAGCACAGTCTTCTCCAGTTAATTTCTTATTTTTAATAACATGTAATTCTATCAAAAATGTTTTCATCACGTTTTTCATTCTGATGATCATGGTGGGAAGGCCAAATCACTAAACATTAATGTACAGTATTAAAATACAGTTTTGCTACATTCTGTTCCTAGAAAACACATTGAGAATGTGCTGGAATCTGGTTCTATTTACAAAAAAAATGGTCACCACTAGCAATATGCAGCATTTTTCATCAATAACACAAGTATCACTTAAAAAAAACTACAATTCATAGTGAGAGGCGGAGTTATGACAACTTATGACAACCTAATTGGATGCTATGGGCCCCTACACATTTAACTCCTTCTCAAATCCGCAATAAACTGCATGTCTGCCTTGTGGCCTAACAATATTCTGGTTTAAAAAATCTTTTGACACAGATTTCAAAACCGGGCTACACAATCCATATGGGAAAAAAAAAAATATAACTACATTCAAAGATTATTTTGGAAAAGGCCAGCCAGTGTCTGTAGTCCAATTTGGTCCCACCAATTAGCAGAGATAAGCCAACCATCTAAGCAGTAGAGATAGCATCCACTGAATTAATACACTTGAATATTCCATCAACCAGTAAAAGAGAGGTCATCCACACCTAACTTTTCTTTTTTTTGGGTTTTCCTTCTTGAAGTTCTTGAAGATTCCACTTTAACAGGTTCTTCAACTGACCTACGGGTCATGGTGGCTCTATGTCTCCAAGCTTAGATGGAGCCTTCAGATACTGAAACCCAACTCCTCGTAGATGTGTGAGGATGGTAGAAGGAAAGCAGAGTTCTATGAACTAAGGATCAGGACGAGTGAAGGGGAGGGGGGAGAGAGGATGAGCTTAACCAAGACCCTGCTCCCACCCCTTCTCTATAGCTAAGAACATTTCTTTCATGTACTCTGAGCCTTCATCCCCAATCACCCTTATGCTCTCACCTCTAAATATAGCCAGCACACTGCCATCAGCACATTTACCAGACCAAAACCAGGCAAGGTGAATGATTATTGTAGATACATAATAGAGAATACAATGTAAATGAGTTCAATGGCAAAGACAGAGATGCTTGCAATTGTCATTAAAACAAAGGCATCCTGTAGGTATATATAGATCCTGAGTATAAAAAAAGAGAACATTGAGGATCAGTTTTCCTCTTACTGAGTCACCTCACCGAGATTGTGTGAAAGGTGACTTTAGGTGACATACCGATTTATGAAAATAGAACCTTGCGACAACATAGTTGAAAACTGTCCGTGATACTTTTAAGGTGGTTCTAAATGCTGAAGATTTTTTTTACCTTCATGTATTCTATGCTTGAAGGTTAAAAACTTTCAGTGTGCAGCTCCCCCCAGCCCCCCTAATACTTAACTGAGCCAGAACTCAATCCAGCGATGTGCATGAAAGCAACGGCTCTCCCAGCTCTCTCCCTCCTCATTGGCTTAGACCCAGCAGCGAGCAGGAAACATTGGCTCCTGCTGCTGTCATTCGCAGTCAATTAGGAGGGGGCAAGGGGCGGGGTCAAGCTGCGCTCTGTGTGTCTTATGGACACACAGAGAGGGGCTCAGGAGTGAACATGCAGAGATGGCCTGTATAGCAAGCAGCTGGGCACTCAACAAGGGGGAGGAGTCAGGAGCACCAACAGGGGACCCAAGAAGAGGGGGATTGGGGCTGCTCTGTGCAAAACCATTACACAGAGCAGGTAAGCATAACAGGTTTATAATTTAAAAAAGGATAATGATCTACCTCCTTCCTGAATTGAGAACTAGGTGGACCACCCTGAAAGCTTGTCCTAAAAATGTAACTGTTAGTATCTTGAACAGCACTCAACTACAAAAATAAAAAAAAATACAAATTATAGGAGCTGATCTGATCTGAGCTGATACCTGTGTCTGCTGATCTCTTGGATCATGCACATGGGCATAATATAATAAAGCTGGATCTTGCTGCCAGAAAAAAAACACATGTAATGGGGCATAAAATTCTTTTGCATTTAGAAAGGTACATGCATATATTTATTCTAGTGGCTAGAAAACTCATTTATTCTACCCACTAGATTGAATTTACAAGAAAATGCAAGTGAATGCATCAGTTTACCCAAATGTAGGCATGTGCACAAAAAAAAAAAATTAGAATACCCTGAAAGCTACTCAAATAAATGGAGCTAAATGCCCTCGCGTGCATGGTCATATTGGATTTAATAGAGCTACATTCAGATCTGTAAAGATAACATATGGATCTAAATGCAATGTTTTATTACTTTTCAAAACATGAAATATAAATCAGTAATCAGTATATGAATCAGCAAACTGTACAAATATCAGAAAATGCGAATAATATACCTGAGCTGGAAAATAAAATGTCTGTGTCCAACAAAAATTATGTTTTTTGGGGGAGTGCAGAGTTAGCTTAACAAGAGCTCTATCTATCATCCCACTAGGGATATTTCTAGTTCTAGGAGTATGGGGGTCTCCAGGACAGGAAGGTACCCAGAGTTTAAGGGCCTGGGTAAATGGGCTTTGGGCTTGTGTCAATGGGAAAATGAGTACATTGGAAGGTGCACTTGACCTGTAGTTAACCTGTTTCTAAGCTGTTTTGCATTTCCCACTGACTTGTACTACATAGCTCCCAACTGTTGCTTATCTGGAAGGACTGTCCTAAATCCCCCGTCCTTCAATCTTCCTCAGTTGTCCCTCTTTTTGGTTGGTCTGATATACAGTATATTGACCGTCAAAAAATGTACTATTTAATTTTCAAAAGTGTTTATAAAACCTTTCATTTAAGCTCTATTTTTTAATTTGTTACATTAAAACGCCGTTATAATGGAAAAATATTGGTGAAAAAGCACTTACAGGTTTAGACATGAACTCTTGCAAAGTTGGACAAGCTCCTCTCCTGCACTGAAATTGCTTACTTTGTTTCCACTGCACACTGAGAATGTCTCACAGTATGCATTAGAAGCTGCAGCAAAGCCAGATAGAGCGTGCCTCCCTTTCCTAGGTGGAGGATGATCTGCATCATCTAGCCCTTTCCTCCCAGCTTACTGTACCTAGGCCACCTCTTTCATTAATTGGATTTCAGTTTTTTCAATCATGGACGCTTGGCATTACATATGGGCATTATGCAGGGTGGTCTTCCTAGGAGTACCCAGACTCAGACTGACATACACCTATTAAGGCATTTTGATTTTTGTATAACTTCTCCTGAAAGTCTGTTATTGACAGCTGTTGAGAGGATTAATGAGGTGGAGGAGTAGGGAGTGTGTGTGTGATGATTTCAGAAGTCTATATACAGAGCTTTGCTGTCCCCTCCCACCAGCCATAATGTGTCTACATTGCACAGAAGAGCACAGAGACACAGTGATAATGTCAATAGGTCTAAAATGAGGTATGAAAGAGAAAGAGAAAGGTTTGACAAGGAGAGGGGGGGGGGGGGGGGAGGAAAGGAGGAACCAGGGAGTGCAAAATATAAGCAGATTAAACTTCAGCTTTAACCAGTCTTTTTTTGCATGTACATTTTTCATGCGACACATAACCAGAGGCATGGTAGAGGTGTGTCCAATGACAACATACTTTGTTCTAAAATATGTCCTTTTATTTCCATCTCAGAAAGTTGGGAGGTATTGTATTTGGAGAGAAGCGATTCTGTCATTAACAGAGTCTTATAAAACCCACTGCCATTCTACCCCACCCCTGCTTTACTGAAAAGACAATTTTATTAATGTCTTTGTTCCTGTTGGGGATATTTCCCATCACTTCCTCTCCATCTGATTCCTGTCACTGGAACTGGCACTAAGGGTGAATCATCTCAACGGGAATCAGCGCCAAAGAGTCCAAGGAAATTTAAAAAGATTGATTCATAGCAGAATCAAGCCAACGTGTTTCAGGGCCAAACAAATTCCTTCTTCATCAGAGCTTACAGATTTTGATGCAGCCTGCATTCAGTAACACTGGCTGAACTTTTGGTCATGAAACTGTTCCAAGCAGTAAATCAAATTGCAGATTTATTTGATATTTACTCAACTGAATATTTAAGCACAGTAAAACTTCTTCAGCCCGATGAAGAGGGAGTGTGTTTGGCCCCCAAAACGCATTGGATTTACTTTGCTGTGAATCAGTTTTATCATTAAATTACCTTGGACTCTTGGTCATTTGTTTGGTGCTCTTATTGAATTGTAGGTGTGGATTCTCAACTCTGGGTTCTTTCCCTGTTCATGAGGGTAGTCGCTGTTTTGCAAAATGTTGCCGAACCAAAGCCGATGTGCCCAGTGACAATTTTACTTATACAATACTTAGAGAACCTGAATCCATCACCCTGCTTGTTCTTGTGTTTGAGCAACAGAAACCTGAGAGGCATTCTAACCTTCTAACCAGCATTGGATTGCCGTGGTTGATAAGCCAGTTCCTACTGTAGAGAATAAACACAAAGGTATGGCCTCCCTTCATTACCAGGATGCTCATTGCTACCCTACAACATTCGAGGTTTGATGGCTGTGGATGGCTGAAGGCCCAATAACACAACCACTCTTCTACAGAATTCACAGCCAAGACTCAGGTCTGGGGAATATCTCCACCTTCCCTCTGTGCAACCTAACACAGCCCATGGGATGTTTCACTCAGTAACCCCATACCTTTGGAGACATGATAGAGAAAATGGCGTCCAGAGCACAGACCTCATTCTCTTCCTATAGGCCAGAAACAGGATCCTCAGTGCTCTAAATTTCCCATAGAAGTGCTTGGACCATGATCCATGTTATTGAAGGCCTCACTGTTACTGTTACCCTACAAGGATCTACTCACCCAACTACACATCCCAACGTTCACAATGGTGGAATGTCTAGTCAGGTAGACTTGGGTCCAATAAAGGCATATGTAAACAAAGTCCAAATAATGGCAAAATAAAGAATACTATCTTTGCAATACATCTGAATCTTTCCATACAAATGGGTTCATAAGATGAAAGTTACATGGCTGCTCATCCCAACATCTCACAGTCCTCTCTTAGACTTTTATGCTTACCTGCCCATAATTTTTCGGATAGTAGGCCCAAAACTGAGGGCCCACACAGGGGTCTCTCCACTCTGTTATCCACTTCTATGGTTGAACTGGATGGACATTTGTCTTTTTTAAGCCAGACTAACTATGTAACTATGTTCTGGAGTTCTCCTCAGTCCTTATTGCTTGCAACCACACATTAGCAGTCCCCCTTCCCATTTATATAGCCTAACAAGAGGCAGGGACAGTCAGCCCACTTTCTGGAGACAGTGGCGACAAAAACGAAATAGAACCTCGTGATAAGAGATTTATATCCTCGAATGTACAGGTGAAGTCTATTAAAAAGATGAGGACACAAATAAGAGGGTACTATCCACAGCTCCCCCCATTATAAGCAATATTGAATTATATATTATATTTCTGTGAAGTACATCTCCACAAATCTCTGCTGTACTGCCTGACCACACAGCCTTTCTTCAAACACTTTCCTTACTCATGTGTGTGCCTAGGTGCCATAAACTTTAAAGGATATTGCTATTCTCCCAATGTAATCCATACACATCCACTACTTAATGGCCCTGTTTTGTATGGAACAAGCAGTGCACTTTGATTGCAGTTATGTGCACTGCTCTAAGCACACTATAAATCCCATAGTCCATCTCAGGCAAGAGAGGGTGGCTATGTTCCTACATACCGTGGGACCATA